AGTGGATTGATGCTGAGAATATACCACTTTAAGTAAACTAAAAAAAAAACTGACTATTCTTTATAAAACCCTAATGATCATCAGGAGAAATGATGGTGGGGAGAACATCTTCAAGTCTTTAGGCAAGCACCTTCGCTAAAATTTTAACATCACAATTGAGCAAAAAAATTGGCCTATATGAAGTAAAGGTCTGCACCGCGGGACCCAACCAGATTCATTGCGACGCGGGATTAAATTTCCGAATAAAACGCGGTAGCGCTCGGTAACTCTGGTGTACGGGACGGGAGCGGGCGGCCTAACAATATCCTGTTCCCGACGTCCTTTCAGAACAGCATATCTGCGCTTTACTCACTCTTATCGACCACCGGTAGCCTGCACTCAGGACTGTTATGCAGGCGCTGCACGCACGGCCCAGTGCTTTCTGACTGAGTCGTGTATTTTATTTGTGGGGTCTGTGTGCAGCGGCATGTGCATAACAGTCCTCAGAGCAGGCTAACCGGTGGTAAATATACGACCATCAGACAGAACAGGGCAGGTTGTCGATGAGTGACAGAGCAAAATAAGGATGACAGAGCAAATGTGGATGCGCTGTCCTTGAAGGACGTTCAACTCGGTTTTGTTCATATTTTGCTTAGCCTATCATTTTAAATGACAGATGTCGTATTTATTTATTTATTTTTCTCTGCGACTCTTTTCCTACTGTTTTAACAGCAAAATGTTAAACGAATTTTGTATTTTGACAAGATGAATAAAAATACCAAATAGGCTACAATTTTTGTACAACCTACATTTATTTTTCTGCGCCACTTTTTCCTGTTGTGTTGACAGCAAAATGTTAAACGAATTGTATCTTGACAAGACAAATAAAAATAAGAAATGCAATTTTTGTACAACCTAACTTTTTTTCCTACTGTGTTGACAGCAAGATGTTAAACGAATTTTGTTTCTTGACAAGACGAATAAAATAACAAATACAATTTTGTGCAGACTATGCTTTTATTTGTTAGCCTATCTCTCTCTTTAAGTAGCGGAAATTTAAATGTGAGATTCTGGAAATGAGATCTAAATTTAGCGGGAACGGGTCGGGAAGAAAATTATTCTAAGTGGACAGTGGGTGAACAAAGAGTGAACATATTGCGGGAGCGGGTGGGTGCGGATTATAACCTCACCGGAGCGGGACTAAAAAAATTGTCCCGTGCAGACCTCTAATATGAAGCACAATTCTAAGGGTCTTTATCCTTTTTAAACAATAAAGAGTTGATTTAAAGTTGGGGGAAGAGTTTCAGGCTTAAAGGGGTCATTGGAGGCAAAAATCACTTTTGTTGTTGTTTGAACTAGGGCTGTGACGGTATGGGATTTTTCTTACGGCGGTTAATCGCAACTCCCCTCCCACCTCCCGCCGCGGAAATATAATGATTTAAGAACGCATGCAGCTTGTAAATGAACATGGAAATTAATAATAATAAAGCAGTCTTCTTTATTATTAAAACAGCAAATTATGTGAACATTAATAAAATAAAATTACATTTATTTCAACTTTGTTTTTTCAATATCTTTTGAGTTTAATAGGAATTATGGAACAGTTTTTAATAATTTAACAGCAAATTATCATTAATATTATTTATCTTAATAAGGCTACATTAATATCAACATTTTTAAAAGTGGAACATAAAAGTGTTTGAATCTGATTTGGGTTTTTCAAAGTGCAACACAAGGGAACATCAGGAACATCATTGTTAAACTACTGGGCCGCTTAAGTGAATCGGCAAGTCCTGCTGCTTTATTTTTTGGTCTTCAAGTTTCTTGCCAGGAAAACCAACATGTTCACTTTGTCTGGTTTCAGCGAAGATCTTAATGGAGTGACAATGTTGCCTTCCGCACTGAATACACGCTCCGAGAGAGCGCTCGTAGCGCATATAGTCATATATTTTCTGGCAACTTTCGAAAGAAGAGGGAATCAAGCCTGATTATCCCACCCCCAGGCAAGCGGATCAAGGCAAGGCAAGTTTATTTGTATAGCACATTTCATACACAATGGTAATTCAAAGTGCTTTACATAAAATAAAATAAAAACAATAATCACAACAATAAAACCAGGAATTTAAAAACTTTGAAAATTATTTAAAAAAAAATTGATTTAAGAGGTTTAAAATGAATTTAAGAAGACGATTATACATATAATATAGTGCAATCAGTTCGGACATCGCACAGTGCTCATTCAATAAATGCACAGCTAAACAGAATCACACCAAGACTCCTGACTTGATTTTTAGTTGTTAGACCCCTAGAGTCAAGGTATGCATTCACCTTGAGAACTTCATCTTTGTTTCCAAATGCAATGACTTCGGTTTTTTCTTTGTTTAACTGAAGAAAGTTCTCGCACATCCAACTGTTAATTTCATCAATGCATTGGCAGAGGGAGTCAATGGGGCTGTAGTCATTTGGAGATAAGGCTAGGTAAATCTGGGTATCATCTGCATAGCTGTGATAGGCGATTTGGTTCTTTCTCATTATTTGACTTAGTGGGAGCATATACAGGCTAAACAAGAGCGGTGCAAGAATTGAGCCTTGTGGGACTCCGCATGTCATGGACGTCCACTTAGACTTATGCTCTCCTATACTCACATAATAACCTCTCCCTTCTAAGTATGACCTGAACCATTTAATTACCATGCCAGAAAGCCCAACCAAGTTTTCCAGTCTCTCTAGTAGTATGTTATGATCGACAGTATCAAACGCAGCACTGAGATCTAGTAGTACCAGCACTGATATTTTGCCAGATTCAGAATTTAAGCGAATATCATTTATTATCTTAATGAGCTCTGTTTCTGTGCTGTGATGCGGTCGGAAACCAGATTGAAAATTGTCCAGGTATCCATTTGAGTTTAAGTATTTGTTCAGCTGATTAAAGACTACCTTTTCAATAATCTTTCCTATAAAAGGAAGATTTGATATTGGTCTATAGTTGCTCAATATGGTGTTATCAAGATTTCTCTTTTTCAGAAGGGGTTTAACAACTGCAGTTTTCAGGGAGTTTGGAAAAGTCCCAGAAAGAAGTGAGGCATTCACCACTTCTAAGAGATCTGCTTCCAAACAGTTAAGCACCCTTTTGAAAAAATATGTGGGAAGTGTGTCAAGATAGCATGTTGACGATTTAAGGTGCTGTACTATTTCTTCCAAAATTTTGCTATCAATTTCTTCAAAAGCAGACATAGTATCTTCTTTTTGATATTGTGGTCGAATATGTCTAACCTCTGCATAACTTGGGGATGTGCTAATCGCCTTCCTGATATTATTGATCTTCTCAGAAAAGAAGGAAGCAAACTCATTGCATTTGCTGTCGGAGAGCACCATAAATGCATCAGGGGGAAACAGTAAGGAGATATTTTAATTATTTACTAATAATAATAGTGTTTTCTGAGTCTGTGTCGGAAGGATGAAGTTGTCGATCCTGACTCGCCATCTCTTCATTAGACGCGCCTTTAGAGAGAAGTGTATCTTTACGGATTATGATCATAATGAAAGAGTTTTTGTTTTTGATTTGTTTTATTTTGCTAAGTAGTAATTTAAAGCTTATCTATAGATATATTTATCATGTCTGTGAGGCATGTATTCGCTGAGTTTCGGTCCATTTTTGTGAACTGCTCCTGTTGAAGAAGAGACGGCAGAAAGTGCATCATGTTTGTTTTCTTTATTTTATAAAAGCACAACGTTTTGTTGATATTGTGAGTGCACACAAATAAAAGTAGACCATTTACAGTTACGAATGATGTATTACTCTTACCTTTATGAGCAAAAATGACTGTATCCACTGAAAAAAACCGCAAGTGATCGCGCTGGCGCCTCCATGTCCTGCAAAGCGCGCTTCAGCCTCCACTCTCTGCGCAAACTATTGGATACAGCGCACATTTATCTAGGTTTAACGTTTAAACATTGTTATATGCTTGAACTGTTTTATGTCTATAGTCAAGTCGTGATGATTTGAGAAGGCTAAATTGATCAAACATATGCTCACTGTCTGCCGCTGGCCGCTTGGTCGTTACTTTAAATGCGTAACGTTAATTAGGCTATGTGAGTACTGCTCATGTCTGAAAATAATATAAGAAAAACACAATTATTTTACATAAAAACATTAGGCTATAGCTTATATTTATTTAGTACATTTTTTAATTAATGTAAAAACTAAAATGAATTGTAAAACTGAAAGTATTTTTTAAAATTGTGTTCAGCACGGTGGGCCGCATTTGAATTTGTGACGGGCCGCGGGTTGAGAACCACTGCGTTAAAGAGACCTTGATATATGACACAGTGCCCTAATGAAAGCCAAATCTTGATGTACGTGATGTCCCTGTATCTTGGATCAATTAATGTTGCGCGTCAACTCCATGTCTTCCTCGGTTGGGAGCAAAATATCCTCAGATAATAACCGTAGGACTGGTCTAACAGAGGACGCTGTAACTGTCTTCTCGGAAGACAGCGCATCTGTAAAATCCGTGGCCCAGTTCCCCAAAACGTTCTTATCACTAAGTAGTTCTTAACCTATTCCTTAACCTCTCTCTTAACGTTATGGCACGATTCCCGACATGTTCTTATGCTAAGTATATCTTCTGTAAGTCACACTTTCGTAAGGTTGGTCTGGACCATTCGTAAGCTCTCTCTTAGCGTTGTTTGAGCTCAAGACGCTAGTCGCCGCCACTGTGCAGCAGTCTTTAGAAATCAGTGCAGCGCAGTACAAGTCAAACTATGGTATGTTGACAATGTTGTGGCTCAACAATGATTTTATGTTATGGACATTTTAAGACTAATAATAAAATATGTTCGCAATGGATACAGGCCTATTTATGAAGTTGACTTTATTTGGTATCAGAACTAATATGGTGGTAATTAGCCTAGGCTATTTCGTAATGTCATTAAAGCGTTTAAATTGGCAATCACTTTTGATAATTAAAATCTGGCAAACAATTTGGCTCTAAATGGCTAAGATCTATAAATGGGTAAGCATGGTGGTGTCCAGTAAGCGACCAACTATGGCAGGACCTTCTCAGACCTGCGCTTTGCCAGGCTAACGCGGCGGAATTTTGCTTTAAGCCCTGAAGTCCAGCTGCTTGCAGCGCTACGTTTTTTTGCTACAGGGAGCTTCATCGAGGTCGTGGGAAAGGGCTATGGCCTAAGCAAGACCTCGGTGTGGAGGTGCGTCCACACTGTCACCAACGCCCTTCTGCGCCATGCCGGGGATTACATCCGGCTGCCGGCAACACGTCAGGAGGTCCAGGAGGTGCACCAGGGCTGTCATGCCATTGCTGGCATCCCCAGAGTCTTGGGCCTGGTGGATGGCACACTCATCCCTATCGCCAATCCATCAGTGATTGATCAGGCGTACATATCGCGAAAGGGATACGCGGCCATAAACGTGCAGGTTATAGTGGACCATAGGGGTGTGATCTCCGACCTGGTGGCAAGGTGGCCAGGCAGCACCCACGACAGTTTTGTCTGGGCCAATTCTGCCGTGGGAGAACAAGTGGATAGAGAGGGGTTTGGTCAGAGCCTGTTCCTCGGGGATAGTGGATACCCTCTGAGAACATACTTATTCACACCGCTGACCAACCCACAGACTCGGTCTGAAAGAGCCTACAATGTTGCACACGTTCGCACACGCAACATTGTCGAGTGTGCAATTGGCATCTGGAAGCTGCGCTTTCGGTGCCTGCACAAGTCGGCAGGAGGACTGCGCATAAAGCCTCACAGCTCTTGCGCAGTTACGGTGGCAACAGCCATACTCTATAACATGGCTGTGCGTGGAGGCGCACCTATTCCAGAGGGGGAGGAGGAGGAGGTGGAAGCAGATGAGGAGGAAGATGGAGAGGGAGAAGTTGAGGTCCTCTATCCTCCACAGAGGGCTGCCCTTGGTTGAGGCAAGGCAGCTTTTGATTGCAAATGTTTTTGGTTGATTTATATTGTCTTTTTGGATTAACTTGCTGAGCTATCATTAGCCATCATCCATGATTGAATGGACTTTTCTTTTGATTCGTATTATGATGGAATTTTTAGTTTTCTGAAAAATAAATGGGAGTTTCAAACCTTGCATCCATTAAATGTTCTGTGTGTGATTCTAATCCTTTAAACCTTTACTCTATCATGCCATTGTGTCCATTCCATAAGTGCTCTATGCAACACCAATCATTGACATGCTTCTCTTAAGGTTGGCGAAGGAGCCTACACATTAGAATTTCTGAGTCAAGAGTTGACATATGCCCAAATTACCACGTCACATTGCTGATTCATCTTCATTCATTAATTGGGCATTGAACGCAGGTCACATGGTTGTCAGAGGATTCCCTTTCCGCTGCTTTGCCTCATGCATAGCCTTACGCGTCGTCAAACACACAGATAATGTACATTACAAACTAATGTCTTTACGCAGCCTCTTCAAACGAGCCTTTATATCTGATTGTGCACTTAGATTGACACTGCTTAATTTCCTTGTGGATAAATAAGGTATCTCATAGA